GAGAGAGAGGGAGACACAGAATCAGAAACAGGCTCCAGGCTCTGAGCCATCAGCCCAGAGCCCGACGCGGGGCTCGAACTCACAGACGGTGAGATCGTGACCTGGCTGAAGTCGGACGCTTAACCGACTGCGCCACCCAGGCGCCCCTAGAAGCGATAAGGTTTTAAACTGGTGACCGAGAGGCCTCCTGGATTGTCGTGGGAGCACCCAGGCATCTTACCCGGCTAGACCTGCGCTGCTGCGTCGTTGTCGTTGCCTCGCTGTCCATCTGCCATCAGCAGATGACACTAGGGGTACTGTCTTCTTGCCCCTCCGGATCCTGCCCCGCCTTGACCTCGGAAATCTGCTACGTGCCCTTAGACATCCAAGTCAATAAGCATTCCGTGGACCTTGTCACCCCTCACCGTCGAGCTGGCTCCCAAACCTTAAGCTCCTACCTTCTGTCTTACCCACTCTCTCCAGCCGAACTTGTTAGACCTCGCTGGGACGTAATCACTGTCCTAGTTTCCTTCACAGTCCAGTTTCTTGACTGTTCTCATTTTCTTCACTTCCTCACCTGCTTGCTTATCACAAAATTTCACCCCGGCCTACATTTCCCATCACTGTACTGGAAACTTCTAGAAGTCTCCGAGGAAGTCCTTACTGCCAAGTAGACCCTTTAGTTTTCTTCTGCCTAAATATTGCAGCATTTGACACTGACAGTAACCTCATGCTTTTTAAAACCCCCGGCCGGGTCTCGTGTTCTTGCTTCCTCTTCAACCCTTCCTTCTCAGATCCGAGACGGCTGTCAGCCCACCCTTTAAGTGTCGCCGTGTCCTGTGTCCCTTTCTGTAGCCCGCTTATCTCTAGACTACAATCCGTATGATCCCTGTGGCGTTCCCTCCTGTGTGGCTGAGTCCACACTTGACTTTCGGCCCAGCTGGGCTCTCTAGAGCTCTCGTGGGGTTTATCCAGATGCCCCTGGCTGTTGCCTTTCGACACCCCACAGGTTCTAAAGACACAGCAAGTGCAACGTGAGCTCTGCTCTCCTGCGAAACCTGCGCCTCCTGTCGTGTTCTGGATCCCTGGCCATCCTCAACCACCCAGGGCAGACCCCTGACAGGGAGACGCCTCCTCGTCCTTCAGCCCCCCCACCCCACGCGAGTGGCGTCCAGGAGCCACCAATTCTCCCTTGTTAACAGCGCTAATGAATGAATGAGTGAATGAGTTTGCATCTTCCTTGTGCCCGCTGTCCCTGCTGCCACATTCTTATTTCAGGTTCTTACCTCCCACCTGGAGAAGGGGAATGGTCCTTAAGAAAACCACACCCAGTCTTACCTCCTGAACTTCGGTCCTTCAAAAGCCCGACCCTGCAGATTAGCAGAGTGTGGGAGGCCCATGACTCCCAGGGGTCCGCTCGGAGCCCCACCGCCAGGCCCCTCTCCTCTGCTCCCACCCCCTTGCCTGGGGTGGGACCGGCTGCCGCCCACCGCCCCGCAATCCTCTCCCGTTGCCTTCAAGGTTGGGAGGGTTTTCCTGGTCACCCTGGTTAGAGGCGGTTTTCAAGTTTCTTTTGATGCTGTATTTCAGACAACGTTTACTTATTCTTTCACAGTATTCGTTGGATACCTGCTCTTCGTCAGGCATTATTCTCGTTGCTGGAGATAAAGCTTCTTCTCAAGCTCATACTGTTATGAGGGAAACAGACCGAAAACACACGATATGGCAGGCAGTGTTCCCGGCCAAGATGAACATAAAGTGGGCCGAGAGGCCAGGGAGTCATGGTGTGGAAACAGCGTGCAGGTTTAGGAAGGCTGGTTAGGAACCACCTGTCTGGTAGGTTTCATCTGAGCAGAGAACGGATGATGTGAAGGAAGGAGCAGGCAGCTCTCCTGAGAAGGAACGTTCCAGGGAGAGGAGGTAGCAAGTGCAAAGGCCGAAAGTGGGATGTGTGGGGCCAGTTCCAGGGCCGGTGCAGCTGGGTCCCTACAGTCTTGTAACAGATGCTCCTTGGGGCTCGTGGGGGGCTCCGTCGGTTAAGCGGTTGAACGTCTGACTTGGTTTCGGCTCAGGTCATGATCTCGTGGTTCGTGAGCGCGAGCCCCGAGTCAGGCTCTGCGCTGACAGCTCAGAGCCTGCTTGGATTCCCAGTCTCTCTCTCTCTCTCTCTCTCTCTCTGCCTTTCCCGCTCTTCCTTTCCCTCCCCTGCTTGCTCTCGTGCCCGCTCTCTCTCTCAAAATAAATACACTTAAGAAAAAAACGTTCCTTGTTTTTTTCTGTATTTCTTTCAATAATAACAGCAATACCATATGTTCCTTAACAGCAGGTGCCGGGAGACTCTGTGCGTGATCTTGTCCGTTCCTCAAGTGTCACGGTGACCCTCTGGGGGAGGTATTTATTACTACTCTCCGTTTTACAGATGAGGAAACTGAGGCTCAGATAGGTTAAGTAACTGTTCCTAAACTGGATTTTTATTTTAAAAGCAATACACACCCCCAGGAAAAGGCAAGCATTACAGAAGGCCTGCCGTGGACAGTCTGGGTCCTCCTTCTCTCTTCTTGCCCCATACCTTCCTCCCTCTCTCCAGGAGTCCCCACGGTTAACAATTTCTTGGGTGACCTCTTTGATCCTTGCCATGCATCTGCAAGCATATATATCTGGGAGAAATGTCTTTTTCTTTTTCTGCCAATGGGACCATTCTGTACATACGATTCTGCAACTTTTTTAACCCAACAGTAGGATCGTCTATTCAGCGCTGTGGACCATGCCCCCGCTGCGTGCCAAGCAAGCACTGTCCTTGGCACCAGGGACACAGTAGTGAAGAGGAAAAGCCCCTCCCTCACGGGGGCCCCCCTGGCCCACCACGTGGCCTGGGGCAGAGCCTTCTTGCCCATATTAACCTCACCAAGGGTGTAGAGAGGGTTTCCGAGGTTTCTCCAAGACCGGTACTCAGCGAACATCCTGTGTACTTTGCACATGCTTCTAGAATTAAAGTGGCCGGGCAAATGGTATGTCGTTGAAATTGTCAGATCATTGCCCTGAAAAACTGTCTGCGTTACACTTCCGCCTTCAGCAGAGGAGGGGAGTTTTCTACACTGTATTTATTTATTTTTTTATGTTTATTCTTGAGAGAGAGACAGAGCACAAGCAGGGGGAGGGGCAGAGAGAGAGGGAGACACAGAACCTGAAGCAGCTCCAGGCTCCGAGCCGTCAGCACAGAGCCCCATGTGGGGCTGGAACCCATAAACCCCAAGATCATGACCTGAGCCGAAGTCGG